TCCGAAAACATCCGATGGCTTCCAAATACATGCGGTAAAATCCCGGAAATATCCGAAGTGGCTCAGATTTATGGGAAACGAAACTGACGTGGTAAAGTGACGCTTCCCGCACGCTAGATCGGTGGGTATTTTACAGACGAGAGTAGAAAAAAAGGTTTATATAAGAAGTATATCAACGCGTAGCTTACTATACTTTTTCTATCACTGTAATTTTCTGGACACATTTTTGCTAAACAACACGGATACACTCATCGAGTGAAGTGTGCCGTCAGTTACTAGAATCTACCGAAAACATCTGATCACTTCCAAACCTGTGGCCTAAGGACCGTACTAAGTGACTCGTGGTTAACGAAGCTGACTTCTTATAGTAACACTTAATCGGCACCTTATTGGGTATTTCAGAGTAGGGTATGTGTTTCCCAAAGCTTTGACATATATATACCGCTTATATAATTTTTGTAATGCTGATATTATATTATTTTAAAATTTAATTTAATAATAGTCAAAATACATTTATGTTTCAGTTTTTGGAATGTTAATGAAATAATAACAATAAACGAAAAACATTACAGGTACAATCCTTATTTAATGAGATACGCTATTTTAAGAAATCACCTTATTAAGGTTGATCCCAAATATTAAAGGTAATATAGAAAAAACTATATAAGAAGGACGAAAAGAGGTAAGACAAGGGATACAAATGAAAGAGGAAAAAATGGATATAGAAAATAACAAAACATTTAAAAGGCAATATCTCAATAATAATTATTCGGCTCTATGCTTAGATAATAGATAGACCAACATTTCAATAAAGAAACATTCATAATAAAAATTTTACATAAAACACAGCTCTCGGCAAGGGTACAATTAAGCACACGTTTATATGCAAAACAACACATACTAAAACTAAAGTATTCCCCCTATGGGGTAGGAGTACTATACTTGGGGAAGTACTGGAGTGGATAGTAGGAAATTGAATGTAATATATTTATTTAGTTCACGATTCTCAAAAAAAGTAAAAAAAATCCAAAATAGAAACATTGGAAGAACCTGGGTAGGTCTTGACAAATCTGCAGATATTTGCTTCCTTCTAATTTGATAATTAAGTGAACTATTCATAATGCTAAATTTTGAGGTCGAGTTTTCAATCAAATTCTTACAGCTAGAGATTTTTTAAAATTCCACATCATTATCATTGAAAATAAGAAAAAACAGGGTGTATGATTAGAACAATAAATAACGGGCCTATAATTAAAAAAAATGATACTGCGCAAGAGCTTAGGCACAGTTATGAGCTTGTCGATTAGTTGTCAAATGAAAAAGATACAAAGCGTATCTCATAACGTCTTCACCAATGCTCCGCATAGTCAAATTCGTCTTGCACCATTCTTCGTATCACAATTGAATTCCACATACATTCCTCGAAATGCTGCGAAATTCTCCGATACATCCTAAGATATTTGAAATTCCTTAGCCTTGTATAGTGTGCCTCAAATTGCTATGTCCGTATTCATCGAAGTTTGCTGTTGACGCCAAGACAACTCTGCCCGGTAGGTATTAAAGGACGCAACATTAGGGCCGATCTCGTAAAGGTTTTTAATAAAATAATATATATAATTTCTTGTTTATTTAGGTTAGTGTAATCTTAAAATTGCATTAAGAAAAAACAGTGACATTAAGTATATACTAAGTTTTTATAAATTAATTACTATAGTCTAATACTATTTACATAATTACACTTTTATTTTAAACATCTAAAACTAATTCCGTTTCACTACCAGAGTTGTCATTGCGGTTAATTACAGTGGGATTTATGTTATTTCGTAGTACTTAATTTTTATAATCTGCTCTACGGGTATGTCATTAATTAAATTCTTATCAAATTTATACCACTGGTAAGAAGGGGTTTCTGCTCCAATCTTCGATTTTATTGGTTTTTTTTATTGGCGTGATAGATAGATGATAGGAAGACATAAAACAATATGCGAAGGCTGTTCAGCTAAATTATTGCTTATTTTCTTGTGATTGAATTCAAAATCGATATCATTTTCCGATAAATGTTCCTGACTTTCAGTTTTTATACGTGATGAGATTGGTTTTTTGTGTAGCCGTGTAGCTTGCGTGGTCCGGTTGGCGACACTCAAAGAATATCAGTTTTACTATTGTACTGGGTGTAATATCATTTTATCTTTCTGATAGAAAGAAAGTAGTTTGTTGCAGTAATGAAATATCAAATCTACAAATGATAATGCATGGAATCTCACAGCGCTCCAACTCTCTTGGAAGGCGCTTCTCAAGTGAAAAGTTTTTGCTCCGACGACTAAAAAATTTAATTGGAAAAGATTATCTAGTCGCGCACTACTACCCCCTATTTCATTCAATTTCGGCATATGCTGTTATACTGTGGGAAACAACAGATTCCATAAAAAAATTCTTATGCAAAAAAGGGCGATTAGAATTATATCCAACGCGGGATATAGGTACCATTGGCGACCTCTGTTTCAGAAACTTAGGGTTATACCATTGCAATCGGTCATACAATTTTAGAAATTCATAACTCGAAAAATCTGTTACCACTTCACTAGATAATCATGGATATCGCACTTCGTCCCCAAATTATTATTATCGAAGTAAAAATAAACTAAAAACATAAATCCAAATCAAGTAACAAATTTTCCATTAAAAAATTTTAAAGCCAATATAAAACCATTGTTTACGGAACATTGTCTTTATTCTGGAGAGGAATGCAATACAATACAGACAAGTGAGAAAGGATATTGTTTGATTCTTGATAACGGCCACTATTTGATTTCCTGTTTGATTTGTATGTTATGTTATTACGTTCTTATACCCATTTCATCTAACCGTATACATTTTTTGTACTTGGATGTTTTGAAAATATATTTTGTACGTTAACACAGTGAAATGAAGAATCTATGTATCTATCTATGTGCTAAGTATAAATAAATTATTTCTTGATGAATTTACCCACTAACAATAGTGTGTAACAGTGGTGTCTGTCAAAAGGCAACAGGATATAGTTTGCGTTATACCATATACTAAAATATCCCAATGATTTACCCCTGACGTATAGATGAATTTAAAAAATGTCGTTCTTAAAATGAATTAAAATCAAAGTGAATATTAACCCATTTTGTCCCAGTGGTGCCTATTCTATGATTTTTTTTGTCACATCCAGAAAATATTTTTGCACATCCATTTCGAAATTTTATTATTATCACTACTAAAGGACATAAAACCGTAGAAATCGCTAATTTATGTGTAAAGGAAAGATCTTATATATGACTTCAAAAATTAACACATAAACATAAATTTGTATCACATTTTCAAGTAAATCCAAAATATTTTGTATTTGTATTGCCATTTTTGTTAAGTCTATAACATGTAGATTATGCTTTATTTTTTGCGTGAATGAACCACTGGTTTTATCTGTGAAACAAACTTTGTTATTGCAAGTCTAGACAAGTCAGCGCATCTAGAATAAACATCCAACAATTAGCGTGTTCTTTAGTATTAGTTTGTGCCTTGTGCAGTGAACGTTACAGTTCGTAAAATATGGCATTTCCGAGGTATTTGACTCAAAAGGAGTTAAAGGCGGCTATGGAGGAGATCGTGATGGATGAGGACAATAACATTGAAACCCGTAAGTATTATTTGGATTTAAGTATTCTTATGTATTGTAGCATTCCATTCCTTGTAAATTTGTGCTTAAAATAACGTGAAAAAATATTTACACAACAGATTGACGAGCTCCGTATTTCACCCGACGTGGATACCTTGACTGACGGAGAAGATACGAACGATAACATAAATCTACAAGAGTTTGGGGAACAAATTGGTATAATTGGAACTTTCGAGTTACATACACTGAATGATACAGCTGCCCTTGAACAGTCCTGTAATTCATCAACTACTGAACCTGAATGGGACTCATCAGATGATGAAACCCTGGAATTCAAAAGAAGACGTATGCTTTCTGCAAACGACAGGCTTGCTTCTACTGTCAAACGGAAGAAAGGTCAGATTCAGTACACTCACACACCTATATCCGATGAATTTAGATCATTTGAGGAACTAAAAAATAGGCTTTCTGGAAAAACTCCGCCTGAAATATTTTTTTATGTTTTTTGATGACGAAGTGATTAATTTGGTTTTACATTGCTTTGCAACTTTTAAAAACTGATAAAACAATTACTCAAAGAAATCTTGCACCTGCCATAGATGAAGTGCGTTATGATAATCAAGGTCACCTCATGATTGTTCACGCTAATAAAGCCCGAAGGAGATGTAGAATCTGCCACAGTCACACAATGTACGTTTGTAATAAGTGTAATGTGCATTTACATAGTTCATGCTTTATAAAATATCACCAAAAATGAAACCGGGTGTTACCGGTGGTGCGCTCACGCACCATATTATGCATTTTTTTGTATCAGGTTCTATTTGGAAAACAATTTACTTTTAGTTGTTTTCTGTCGAATTTGAAATTTATTTAGTATATTTATGTATAAATTATATGTTACATCTTATTTGCCCCAAAACATTATTTAATGTGGTTCGTTTACGTACCAGTATTTTTTTGTATGTTTCGAGTTTTTTTTTACACTTGTAATGTATGCAATAAAATAAATAATTTCAGAGCAAAACAGTATTTTTTAAATTTTTTTATGCTTATGATAATATGGGTTAAAACCAGCATTTTACGGCAAAATCAAATTTTATTCTTAGCGAGTAAAAACGCTCTAGCACCCAGAACAGGTCGGTTTTCAAGTTCGTGTCGAAGTTTGACATTACCCTGGCCTTAGTCGCATTTCGCGGGCGGCCGTCTACAAACTGGCGGTCCACGAGCTCGGGCACCGTCCCTCGCGTAATGCGCCTGCGCGAAATATTGGCGCGAACTCCCGCGGATCGATTGGCACTCGTAGGAGTCCCGGACTCGAGTGCCACTGCAGGATTATACAGTCTTCCTGGAGCCGCGCTGTCTGGCGGATCAAATCGAAACGCAGCTCCCCTTTCCGACACGTTCAAGCCGCGGGCTCAATGAACAATTATTAGGGGAAGCGGCGCGAGAACCTCCGCGTGTGAATCGCACCCGTTAACAATAAACCGTACAATAATTCTTTTTACCTCGAGGCAATTTTCGACGACTACACGGAGGTTAGCTGGTGACGTAGCGGTGTGTGTAGAGCAACAGATTTCCCCCCGCGCGCGAAGCCCGACAAGCTCCCAGCTTTTTCGATCCCCTTCTACAACCGTAAGACGTCATCACTCCAATACGTACCTAAACAACGTTGTGATACATAGACTAATAATATATTAATAGTTGGACATATCGAGATATTTTTAGTTACCCTTCGATTTTATTAGAGACATATCCTAGACATAGTTCCGGTTTAAATACCATGTGATTAGTGTCTAAGAATATCGCGTAAACTAAACCAAACCGAACAAAGACTAAAGATGAGCCTGTCCAGGTCGTGTCTGTCCAATCGAAGCATGAATGGGAAGGTAAATATGAATGAGCCTCGTTCGTTTGTCGATGTTAGGCCAGTGTTACGGTTAGTTAGACGGGCTTTACGTTCTGCTACATCGGCTTTACGCTGAATTAATTCGTGTCACGGATTCCGTGGGCATCCTGTATGTTACAAGCTCCATTGATTTTTCCCGCGAACGTTGCAGATGATGTTATACCGGTTCAATTCACTTTCATTGAGATTTGGAGTCCAGGATGACTCGGAAACAAACAAAAATAATATTAATAAACAATAAAATAGATTATTTTGACGCTAGTAACTTCCATTCCGCCGGAATGGCACAAAACTGTGTGTCTATCTGTGTGGCAATTGTTATTTTCACTTCACCATGGTTCTACTCTTACCCATTTCCTCTTTTCCTCCTTAGTGTCTATCCAACAAACAAAACAAACTTTTAAGAATCAATCCACTAACTTTTCCTTAAAACTAATGCAAGTCTTCGCCTTTGTCACTGTCTTTGGGATGATGGTGATGTTTTTCCCACTTGATTTCTTTACATCTAGGAACTAACGGTATTGACTAATCTTAGAATATGGAAGCGAAGACTTCTTGAAAAAGCGGGGTTCAATAATAAAACTTAGTGGAAAATCTTAATTGATGAACATTGATAGATTGGATTTATAGTATAATCCATGTATTAAAATTGTTACGTCTGTGGTTGTTTCACTAGATGGCGCACAGTAAACGATAATATAATTCAACAAGATTTAACACAGCTTTGCTCCGGTAGGATAACAACCTGTTCACTGAGTTGGCTCATGATATATCGTGGAGTGGAAGGCAACACAACTAAACCCTCAAGATTAATTAAATAAATTAAATGTCTACGCTTTAATTAAAAATTATGAAAACTAAGGGTGGAGGGACTCTTTGCATACATCAAATCCTTTGATTTAGTTTTCTCTGTTTTCCCTTCGGCGTCAGTAAGAACTTTATCCTTAATGACAGCAATGAATTTTGATTGAGGTCTGCACAAAGGAAATGATAACAGTAGAACAGTGGTAACAGTATAGGTATAAGGCCCCAAGGCTAATCTCTGCGGCATGCCGAGCAATCATAAGCTGAGTAAGTCTTTTGACTGAATTTTCTCTCTTTTCCCTTCGGCGTCAGTCACAACTTTATCCTTGATTTCTCCATCAATGACAGCAGAATTTTTATTAAAGTGTGCACAGAGGAAATGGTGAAATACACTAGAACAGGACTTATAGGGCCACAAGACAATTCCCTGTGGGATACCGAGCAATAGTAAGCTACGCAAGTCCTTTGACTGAGTTTTCTCTCTTTTGCATAGTGAAAACTTTATTCTTGATCTTGGTGATTTTATCACCAGCGAAAGTAGTGAATTGTGATTGAGATTTGCACAGAGAAAATAATGAACTGCACTAAAAACAGTAGCTATAGTGCACCAAGGCTAGTCCCTACGGAATAGTAAGCTGCACAGAAAACTGAATTCATTACAAATCGTAGAATTTTATTTTTTACCCCTGAATCAAAATTTGAAGATTTGAAGAAAGATTTGGCGCTCTAGTAGTAGTCGTGTGCAACCCTGACGAACCATACTATAATGATCATACTAAAATGACATGAATAAGTACTAGTACTAGTCGCTTTAGAAATGCACATAAGCAAAATCCGCATCGAGAGTAACATATGCATATAACTAAGGCTTTGTTTTAGATTCTTTGAGTATCGAGTCCGCACAAGTGCCAACGTCGCTCAAACATCCACTTATAAGCTTACATTAATCTTAAATTAGAGTTCGAAACCGTAGGAATTAGTTGGAAACTAATTTAAAACTATTATGCAACAAGCGAAAATCTAAATAAACACTCAGTTGCAGTTACTCATTGTTGCAACACCATCCTGAGTAGTAAAAAATATAAATATGGACCGCTGAAAATAATAAAGATACAAGAAAATATATTATTATTAGTAAGGTTTATTACAAACGTTTTGATCCCTCTCCTTCTTTTTGATCTCTCCGTTTTGGAATATGGGTATATATTAACATTTTTTAAATAAAAAAAATACATATCCCACCAAAAAAACTCCAACATGTCTTTGTTGCATGCTTTGTAATAATGGCGGGTAACTGCAAACTGTCGAAAAATGAATCTAAAAGTAAGGAGTGTCCCCAAAGTGCCCCTCTTTTGTAACAAGCATTTTTAAAGCTCAGTAAACGGGGCCATCAATCATAAAGATTAAAGCGTAACGGGATTCGGTTTATTTGGCTAATCTTTAACTCATAAATTCCGGTTAATCCGTTCTGCTTTTATATGGAATGGAAAGCGGCCACAAAAGCTTTGCGTTTTGAAACGCGGCGCGTGATTCTTTGTTACGTATGCACTGTAACAAAGGTGATTTACTTCTAAAAGTGGTTTAATTTTGTGCTGTATACAAACTTTGCTAAGCCTACGATCAGAGAAAAATCCACTACCCTGTCGAAAGTTCGACAATGTTTTCAAGTTGAATTAAGAGTAAACTCTGACCTCATTTCAAGGTAGGGGTAAAAATAATTCCCATTAAGTTACTAAATATAAGTGAACAGTAGTAGGTATTAGTTACTGCTAATGTAAATAACCTTTTTTGCTAATTGTAAATTCTTTTAAAAACATTTCATAACAGAAATAACGAAAAGAAATAACTTTTTTTTTAAATTAAATTTGTTTAAGCTTGAAGTAGCCATATATAAAAATAATAATGAGATAAAGAAGAAAAGGCCATAGTTAAATAAACAAATTTGAATTTTGTTTTTGTTCTCAATTTGATTTTATCAATTTATTTAATATTAACTACCAAATTGCAGTAAAATTGTGCACTATCCGCGGGATGATGAGCGAGTAAAGTAAAGTACATTAGTACCAGAAATAACGAATTCCAACGGGATTTGTTCCAAATAATTCCCTCATTCCTGTATAAAACTTTAAATACAAAAAATTTAGCTTTTGATGCGGTTTAAACCAATGTGTCCCATCTGTAAGGGTAATAACACAAAATTAAACTTTTTGACAGATGTTTTTATTTTTAAAAGTGATATTATATAATTTTGGTTGGCTGATTTCAAAAATTCTATGCATTTAATTGTGTCACGTAAAGTTTATTTGCAAATATTAAAGAAAAAAAAAGATATTTTTGAAATGTTTTTTTTTTTAGTAAAAAAGTGGAATCCTAGTTAAAAAAAAAGTAAAAAAAAAACTTTACTCACACTTTTTGGAGTGAAATCTTCATGTTTTTTTTTGCCATAAATCTGCGTCGTCTGGACATTCGGCTGTGTGCTTTTAAGGAAATATCATCTTGTTTTAACATCCAGCAGTAGTCCGCCATCATCGTTATGCTCCATCTGCCTTGGTATTGTCGTTCCATTTCCTGATGAAACCTCTCTCCCTGTTCTTCACTAACTCATCCAAGATTTTCAGGAAAATAGTTCAAGTGTGAAAACAGGAAATGCACTTTCAAACTCGTATTACAACCTAGACGATGAAAATGTTGCAACAAATTTTGAACAGTACCTTCGTTGTATTCGTCCTTAGAGTTACCAGGAAAATTTTCTTCTTTAAATGAAACCCGACATTGGTGTTTTGAAAATCCTTGTTTTTGCATAATATTTTTATTTGCGGCGCAACAAGAAGAGGAGAGCATATAAAGAGGAGGCAGTAAAACTTTTTTGGAGTCAGCTAAGCTATCTCTTAATACGTTTGTGCTACCAGGTGTAAGGCTTGTTCTAGAAGGCCATTCTATTTGAATCTTGCCCCACTATCCCGCTCACAAATAAAGCATGGAAATTTTGTATAACCCCCCCTGTTGTCCTAGGAGTAAGCACAACACTCTAAGGTCACCAAAGCATCTACTGATGTTTTTGGTACTTTATTTTCAAATATTATTATTTTTCTTTTAAATGTACCGAGTGTGTAACGGGAACCGAGGCCAGTTAAACTACGCTTACTTGAGTCAATAAAGAGCAGTCTGAACGCTAACAATTCGGATGCATCCATTGGAAGGTGCAAATTTAATTCGATCCGGTTAAACACTTCGGACTCTTTGAAATTTGGTGTGAAATCTGAGTCATCTGGGACGGAGTTACATTCCTCTGATTCTAACGGTACATATGGTCCAGGAGGAACTGGCCGAATAACAGAGTCAAGATTGGGATACACAATTTGTTTCTTATTTTTTCTGTTGAATGCTTGAACATTACACTAACAAAAGTAACAATGATAACTCTCGCCATACCATAGAATCACCAAAGCTTAAACATTCCTTCCTAACTTTTTGCCAATTTCTTAATGTTTCAACGCATAAACAGCATGAGGAACCCAGGACTTCTCTTGGTTGCCAATTTTTATACCAAAATAAGCGTGGTATACATTTTCCCCAAAAGAAGTTATAGTTTGCCTTTGCTTTACTACCACATAACTTGTACAGATATAACAAAAGCTATTTGGATGGTTTACCCAATGTCTTCTTTCCATATTTATCCGTTCTAGAACACTCGAAATACGCAACAACGAAGATAACAACCGCGAACACTGTAGCACTACGACCAATACAACCAAACTGCGTATAAGCTCCTGCGCCAACTCTGTTCACATTTAATTTCCTAGATATCAATTCATTATGCCTAACACAGAACGAACATATCATAGGCATGTACATTAATAAAATAACATCTTTAAGATAAACAGCGCTATAAAAAAATTCTATTCTATCCTATCCAACCAATCGAATTTAATTTAACTTGAACTACGTCACTGTCATCAATTATGGGAGGGAATGCGTATGAGACAAAACAAAAAGCAGAGGCGTTTTATCCGCCATTGACGCTATCGCCAAACATTCCTCAATAAAGGAATCACGAACACAACTACGACGGCCTTTTGTTTCCCGATTTCGACTTTACGCGGACGAATTTGCGTTAATTACATCGGAAACAATGGCCGACGCGAAACAAAGACCCCGCAAACAGAAAAAAATGGT